TCAGGGGCCAGGAACACAAAAGGTCATAAATGGCCAAAACGTAGAGAATAAAGAGTCTAAAGAGTGTGGGTTCTTGGACAGAACTCCCATATTAAAATCCACTCACCCAGGGCTCAGGGACCATTGCAGAAGGGAGCAGATAGATTGTAAGAGCCAGGGAGGAAGTACATGGCCATATGAAATAGAGTCCTACAGGCTCCTGGGACCCTTCTCATATGAATCTATAGCAATGGTGTCAGGATGCATAAGACCCATGAAAACGCATAAGACCCATGAAAACACATAAGACCCATGAAAACGCATAAGACCCATGAAAACGCAAGAAGACAAAAACCAAGCACAGAACTGTGGAAATGGACAGCCGGTCCCAATCTTAGTGGAAGAATTATTGGCAGCTGGGTGATGAATAGCTGATCTTCTTAAAGGGAAGGACTCTAGATAGGCTGACTAGACCTCAGTGGATGAACTTGCACCGAGGGACATCTGGGGACACTAACTTGACACGACAGGCCTTAACACAAATGACAGAATGTATGAATTCCAGTGGGGGAAGGTTATAGGAGGGGACAAGTGGGGAAGGGGGTATAAAGGTGATTAAGATGTTCTGTATGAAATACATAAAATTCAATAAAAATTTTAAAAAAGATTTATTTTTTAATTGTTAAGATTTATTTTAGTTTAAATTATGGGTCTATGTGTCTGTGTGGAGCTTTGTGCACGTGTGTTGGTGCTCATGGAAGCCGGAAGGAGCACTGGATCTCCTGGAGCTGGAGTTAAGATGATTGTAGGCAGCCTGACATGGGTGCTGGGAACCACACTTGGGTCCTCTGGAAGAGCAGAAAGCAAGTGCTCTTAAATGCTGAGCCATCTCTCCAGTCCCTAAAGATTTTATTTTCATTTGTGTGTGTGTGTGTGTGTGTGTGTGTACACGCACAAGTGCCAAAGAGGCCAGAAAAGATGAAATCCCCTAGAGCTGAAATTACTGGAGGTTGTTAGTGTCCCTACCCCACCCCTCATGTGGGTGCTTATAATGGAATTCGGGTCCTTTGGAAGAGCATCAAATGCTCTTCACTGCTGAGCCATCTCTCCAGTTCCTGATCTGGATGTTCTAATGTGTACTTAACTGAAACGGCCACACTGTCTTTTCTAATTAAATATTTTTCAGAAGCATGACTTAGGGGTCTGTAAGACGGCTTGCTGGTAAGGGCACCTGCTATCATGCCTGATGACCTGAGTTCAATGCCTGCGTCCCACATGATAGGAGAGAGCTAAATCCCACAAGTTGTCCTATGATATCTACATGTACACTGTGCTCTGCATGTCCCCCCTCCCATAAATAACTAAAATTAAAACCTTTTTAAAAACCATACACATAAAAAAAGACAGGGCCTCACTACACAGCCCAGGCTAGCCTCAAAATCACAACCTTACTGCCTCAGCCTCCCAAGTGTTGGGATTACAGGTGTGTACCACCACACCCAGCTTTCCTGTTGGAGAAGGTAAGTAAAACTGCCCAGGTTCATATATAGAAAAATGCCCTGGGACACCAGACCAACCATCTATTTCTGCACCTGTATAGGACTGCCCCAACCCGACTGCCAATTTCATTTTCTTAATCTAAGTTCATTCTTATAACCCCTCCTCTTCTTTTTATCCTCAGGGAAAGCAAGAGCAGTCTCTGCCAGGGCATTCTCACATTTTCCAAAGAAATGGCATAGGTGTTAATCTTGCATTTACGTTTGATGTGGGTAATGATGGCTGTGACTGGAGCTGTGGGTTTATTAATATGCAGGGCTCTCACCTCATTAGTGGTGATGTATGTTTTGAAGTTAAGCTGCAATGTTTGCTGTAATGTCGGATCTGGCCCAACACACCTTTTCACTGTTCACTTTCTTTGTTTTTACCCACAGTTAGCATACACTATGCTCACAGGGTGTTCACATACACCTTATAATACACTAGCTGACACAATATACTACTAAATAGTGGAATCAGACTAAAAAGCTTCATGGGATGGGTGGTCTGTTGTTGACTCTTTCGGACTTCATTCCGCTCTACAATCTCCACTACACACTATGGGAAAGACCCTAGATTTTATATATACATTTTTTGTAGCTACAAACCCAGGACTACCAGATTCCGAGGGAGCCATTTATATGGGAGAATACATCTACTCTCCTTTCACACCAGGTAACCAAACACACCAACATTTCTTCATTTGTAAAAATGTGTGTTCCTCGGTATAAAGCAATGTCATTTTTATAATTTCCTGCCCCGGGAAGGGGACAGAGCCTTAGAAAATAACAATCAGGGAACACGGGTACTTAGTACCTAGACCAACACAAAGAAGGAAAAGCTTGGATCACTCATTAGTGTTTTGTTCCCTATCTTCTTTTCACTGTCTATCTTCCTGCAGCCTGTACCAGACTCCGTCCACCCCTCATAAAAGGGCCCCTTTGATTTGACAATGTGGCATGTATTCAGCTAGAATCCCAATCATCAATCAGAGGAAGTAAAAATGAGTATATATGCTTTTAAGAAGGTACAGCAATTGGCTTATATAGTAAAAGTGTATAAACAACTATATTACTGATTTAATTGCCTTAGCTGAACTTAAAAGCTCTGATCTTTAATTGCCTGATTGAACTCATCTAGAAAGCTACAATTTTTTAATCAAGGAGAAAATTAAATAGCTTTTTGGTAAATAAAAAGGCATCTTTAATCTTATTTTTATGGAATCCAAGTTATTAAATATGGACAAAACCTCTAAAATATTGTTAAGAACTACTCAATTTAGGCTAAGTTTCTTATTACACTGTTCTACAAAAGTCTTCAGGGACTTGATTGCTTTTACTCTAAATCCAGAAAGTAAAAGTTTCCATGAATAGTTATGAAACTCAAAGGCTAAACACGTAAATATATTTAAAGAGGTGTATTACCACAGCATACTTACACTGAGAGCTCAGTGCCCCTAACTACTAGGGAATACATACTCATCTGTACTGTAATCCAGTCCCTTTCCATTCAGGCAGACTCCTTCCCTGACTTGTACTTATTTAAAACTCTAGTCCCTGGAGAGGGCTCATGGGGCCTCCTTCCCCACTGCTCTCAAAGACACCCTCCTACAACTAGTAGCATTTTATAGTGGGTTACTCTGGGCACTGTTCCTTTTGGGAACCTCTGTCTATCAATTCAGTCAAATCATTACAGCCCTCCTCCAACACAGATCAAAGAGCCCTTTCTTAGTCCAAGGCACAAGAGTGCAGGAAGAAGGATGCATTGGCCTGGGAGGGCTCTGGTCAACACACCTGCCTCCAGTGACCACAGGAGGATTTCTTTGGAATTTGACCCTAGACTTCATTTTCAGATCCTCACAAAACCATTTAAAACATGTCTAACCAGATCTCATTTCAAAGAGAAAAATCTGGTTATTTCTCACAAACACAGAGTAAGACTAACACCAAATAATTGAGATACAATAGTTATAGAGGTATATCAACTTGTCAGCATGATTTATAACTTTAAAAAGGAAAAGACAAGATGTTTCAGGATAACTAGAACATATTTCCCTGACCACTAGTGTTCTTGGAGCTACTACATTGTTTTCACAGAAAGTTATGGCTAGAGAGAATTCATCAGAATCCAGAATTATACAGCATGTCTAGCATATAGAACAATCCTCAGTCTCAATTTTATAACAACAACCCCATTTCCTCAGCACAGTCCTTTGAATGGAGGCTTTGCTATCAAGCTCTGAAGCCTTCCCTTAGCTCTCATGTCAAATGGATAAAATCCAACAAAATGACAGGAACTGGCCACTGAGTTGACTCCTGTTAAGACACCTATAACTGTCTTAGGGGTGGGTGGATGTTAGGAAGCTGAAGTACATGGAGAGAAAGGCAACATGAGTCATACCAAGTTAGCACATCCCTTTTCCCTTTTACTCACTACACATATTTACATCCTTATTTATACCCAGGAAGTCCTACTAACCAAGTTCAGCTCACTCTTCTTGCATCCACTCTTTTATCAGCTACTCTCTAGAAATAGAATGGCTTTAAAGGAAAAAAAAGGGGGGGAAGTTATGATTCCATTTAACCAACATAAATACCTTCAAGAATTGGATTAACACTATGCTTTTCAAAACTTAGATATCCTCTCTAAAAGAAAAGATTTAAGAAGTTTGGAATCACCAGAGTATTAAAACCACCCACAAAGGAACACAGTCCTTAGTGACAGATATGACACTACAGTTGAAGACACTCGAAGTTTCCTCCCTCTCATAGTTTTATACCTTAAAAAAAATAGCAGCAACAAGAAACCTTCCCTTCAATCACATCTAATTGTATACTGTTGCATCCCCAAATGTACATAAAGCCAGGAGAAGCAGCTGTGTAAAATTAATCAGTACTGTTGCAGCATTACCCAGAAGTTGCTTTGTTATAGTCTCTTTCGTGCTTAATAATTTGTTCCAAATGAATTCAGACACTTTGGGAACATTAAACAGACAAAAGGAGGTTCCTCCTGTACCACACAACAGTTATCTGATTGTTCTCTTCTGGGCCACCAGAACAGGGGACAACTGCTGATGTTTTCCCTACTTCCTTAGTTACAGTTTCATTTCTCAGGGATGGGAGGCAAGCTCTGAGGAAAGAGCCTATGATGACCCCAGAGCATCAGTGAGAGGGAAGAGGTGAAGGTCCTGCACTGCCCACAGTCCAGTCACACAGAGCCTGACCTTTTCAAAAAGTACAAAATAAAGCACACGTTTGGTAAATATACTTCACAAAATCATTCCCTGGTTTATACTAAACTAAATGAAAGCAGAAAACATGGAAATGAGAGGGGACAATAAGGAAAGTAACATTTCTAAAACACTGTCTTTTTGATGATGACATCAACTGGCAGAAATGTCATTTATTCACTTTAAAAACCAAGGGAACTGAAGACTCTTCCCCACCACCCTCCACATTTGATCACAGCATATACTCAGCACATACCTCTGTGTAAAATCTTTAAACTCCACAAATAGGTAAGGCCTTTAACAACCTAAATTTATGAAAGAGAAAACAGTTCAATTATGGATTTTATAGGGAACTTACCACAGTTAAGTATATCAATCATAACGTCTCCTTTAAAACTCTGTCAACCAGGAGGCACCTCTTGAACAGCTCCCCTTTCTGCACTTGGCTCTGTGGGGACACTGACTACAAAGCTCCATGTTCCCTGCTAGTCAGTTTATAGCAGCCTCAAGACACAGTGAGCAAATGACAGAGGTGAAGTGTATATGCTCCACATGACCTGGATGGCCACACTAAACTCTTAATAGGGCTATGGACAGGTGAGGAGAGGGACAGGAAAGAAGGGCAGGAACGAGGGACAGGAACGAGGGACAAATATGTTTAAAAAGGTTTTTCAATATTTCTGGGTGATTTTTTTTTAAAGTTTATTTTTATTTTATGTGTATGAGTGTTATGCTTGCATGTATATAAGTGCACCCATATCATGCAATGCCTGTGGAGGGCAGAAGAGGGCATTGGATCCCCTGGAACTGGAGTTATGGACAGTTGTTAGCTGCCATGTAGGTGCTGGGATTCAA